ACTGGGGCCTCCAGTGGAGCTCCCCAGTGGATATGCATGCGGGCGCTGCCACTGGCGCCTCCTGTGGAGCTCCCTATGGGGCCACGAAACGTTCGAGGGGCGCGCCAAGATGGGAGTGGAACCGCATGCGGGCGCTGCCACCAAGGCCCCCGGTGGAGCTCCCTATGGGGCCACGAAACGTTCGAGGGGCGCGCCAAGATGGGAGTGGAACCGCATGCGGGCGCTGCCACCAAGGCCCCCGGTGGAGCTCCCTATGGGGCCACGAACCGTGTGAAAGATGCGCCGAGAGGGGTGGACTGCATGCGGGCGCTTGCACTGCGGCTTTCGGTGGAATTCCCTATGGGGCCACGAACCGTGTGAGGGGGGCGCCAAGGTGGAACTGCATGCGGGTGCCGGGGGACCCTATGTGGCCACGAACCGTGTGAGGGCTGCGCCGAAATCGGGGGTGGAACTGCATGCGGAGTTTCCCACTGGGGCCTGCGGTGGGGCTCACTACCCAGTAGCCACCTTAGATCAGCATCATAATTGAGCACGTTGCGCGAATGCATGTTGGTTAAAGGGTAATTGCCATCTAAGCGGGCGGTCGATCAGAGGATACGTATCTTTCATTCGATCTAATGTTCCTCTAACCAACATACACTGTACTTGAGATGATGCTTCTCCTCTAACCCAAATAATCTAGGTGATATGTATCCTCTGCTCGACAGAGTTGAGATGATGGTTAACATTGAATATACATATATGGGAGATCCCGGGCCCCGGGCCCCGGGCCGGAACCTCCCTTGTATATAGGGTGCGGCCCTCTCCCGGGGCGCCCTTCCGGCGGCCCCCGCGCGTTCCAGCCCGCCCAAGAGGGCTCCAGGAGCGCCGAGAGAACCCCAGGATCGCTTCAAGACCGCCAAAGATCGCTTCCAGAAGGGTCAAGAGGCGCTCAAACCGCCCCAAGAGGCCTTCAAGAGGCCCCCCACGAGCGCCCCGGGAGACCAAAATAGCCCCATTCCCTTCGTAAAACGTACATTTTTACGATATCAGCTCCCTTAGCTGTCGGAGCGGCCGAAAGCCCCACGAGGCGCCCAAGGACGCTCCAGGACGACTGAGGACAGCCCCAAGACGGCCCAGGAGGGCCTCCCGGGACGCTCCTCCGGCGGCCCCCGGGCTGCCCAGTCCGCCCAAGAAGGCTCCAAGAGCGCCGAGAGAACCCCAGGATCGCTTCAAGACCGCAAAAGATCGCTTCCAGAAGGGCCAAGAGGCCATCAAACCGCCCCAAGAGGCCTCCAAGAGGCCCCCCAAGAGCGCCCCGGGAGACCAAAATGGCCCCATTCCCTTCGTAAAACGTACATTTTTAGGATATCAGCTCCCTTGGCTGTCGGAGCGGTCCGAAAGCCCAACGAGGCGCCCTAGGATAGCCCGAAGACAGCCCAGGAAGGCTTCCCGGGACGCTCCTCGGGCGGCCCCCGGGCCTCCCAGTCCGCCAAAGAAGGCTCCAAGAGCGCCGACAGAAGCCCAGGATCGCTTCAAGACCGCCAAAGATCGCTTCCAGAAGGGACAAGAGGCCATCAAACCGCCCCAAGAGGCCTCCAAGAGGCCCCCCAAGAGCGCCCCGGGAAACCCAAATGGCCCCATTCCCTTCGTAAAACGTACATTTTTAGGATATCTCATCCCTTGGCTGTCCGAGTTGTCAGACAGCCCCAGGAGGCGCCCAAGGACGCCCCAGGACGCCTGAGGACAGCGCTAAGAGGGCCTAGGAGGGCTTCCTGGGACGCTCCTCGGGCGGCCCCCGGGCCTCCCAGTCCGCGCAAGATGGCCCAAGAGACTTCCCGGTCGCCCCGAGAGGGCCCCCGGAGCGCTCCGATACGGCCCAACATGGCCTCCAGAAGGGCCACGAGGCCGTCAAGACGCCCCAAGAAGGCTCCAAGAGGCCTTCCAAAAGGGCCCCGGAATCGCCACGGAATCGGACCCGTGCTTGCGAACACCGTTTTCGGAGCAAACTAGAACCTAAGCGCGCGCAAAGCGCGGCGCGTGGTTCTAGTTACATATATATATATATATAATATATATAGATTAAAAATATATATACTATATATATATATATATATATTATATATATATTGCACCACCCTTTTGGACTGGACCCCCTTCTGGGTCACCCAAATTTCCATGTGTTTGCCAATGCGCCGTCATGGCGCGGTTTCACTCGTTCGCTCGCTCGCGCACTCCCACATGCCGCGCGCCAGAGGCCGCGCTTGCCAAGGGTTTACCTCCCGCCTGCGGCCGAGCGGGGGTGGGGGGGCAGGCAGGGCGGCTCACGGCACAGAGGTTGCTGAGAGTGCTCGCCAGCTCTAGGTCGGGCATGTCCTCCTACATGCGGTTCCTGGAAAATTCAAAACTTGCCAAAAATCAAATGAAATTGGCGTTGACTAAACGGCCCTGGGCGTTTATTCAACAGCCCTGCCCTGTTCGATTCTTTCTTTGTTTGCGTTTACTCAACGGCCTCGCTTGTCGGGGTCTCATTATGGGGATGGAATTGGTGCCCTAAGCAAAGATATCCAAACATAGCCAAAATAGTTGAAACATCGTCCCCAGGCTATTTTTTGGCCATCTTTAAATACCCTGTAAATCGGAGGTTTGGCAGGCGTATAAATTCCTGGTGCCGTCCCGCGTTCGACTACCTCCATACCTCTGTCACTCAATCGCTCTTTCGCTCCTCCGAGCCTGGCGCTCTTGACTCAGTCGCTCCTTCGTTTCCCCGAGCCTCGCGCTGCTCGCCAGGGCTGTAGTGCTGCTGCCTCGTCTGTCGGTTTCGAGTCTCGGGTGGGCCGCCGTGCCTTTCGGCGGCGGCCCGTGCCCACCGTCCGCCCGGGTCCGTGGCGGGATAGCAAGTAACGGCCGAAGGGCAGGCGGGCCCCTGCGGGGGCCCAGGGGCCTGCGAGGGCCAGGAGCAGGCGGGCCCCTGCAGGGGCCCACGCGCTTGCGGCCGCAGGTTGTGCGTCCCATGGCAGGCGGGCCCCTGCGGGGGCCCACGCGTCTGCGGGCTTCCCTTTTCTCCGAATCTCCCCCTCGGCGCACGCCGCGTCATTATGGGATTCGCGGGGCTGCCGAAGCGGGATGAGACGTAGTGCAATGGCATGGTCAAAGTCCGGCGCCGCGCTCTGTGTCCTGGGGATCGGTTGCGCGAGCTCCAAGCGCGGCGGCACGGCCGCGCGGCCGTGCGCGGCGCGCGCGGGGCGTAGCCGCGCGCGCGCGGGGCGGAGCCGCGCGCGGTTGACTGGTGCGCTGGGGGCGCGTGCACCTAGTCGAAAAGGCTCTGGGCGCGTGCGAGCCCCTGGGCAGTGCGCGCGGCGTGCGTGGCGCACTAGGCTTGGGGCGCGTGCGTGGCTTAGGCTGCATGCGCGGCTGGGTGCACACGTGGCTGCATGCGCGGCTTTGGCTGCATGCGTGGCTTAGACTGCATGCGTGGCTTTGGCTGCGTGCAGGGCTTTGGCTGCACGCGTGGCTTGAGCGCGTGCGTGGCCTTGGCAGTGGCCTTATACGTGGATCTGGCTGTATACGGGTTCACACTATACACGGGGCACACTATACACGGGGCTCGGGTTCGGGCCGCGTTTGCAGCTGTGGCTGGGCGCGTGGCCCGGGGGAGGGGGCTGCCTGCGCGACGTCGGGATCATGCACTGCACGGGCCCCCGTCGAACATCGCATGCGCGTGAATCCGAGCAGGGGGAATGCAGCTCGCTGTGCAGCCTGCGTGACCGCGCGCGAGCAAGAGCGGTGCGCGCCTTCCCCATGGTGCAGGGTTCGTTGTCCGCGACGCTACCGCGTCTCTGCGACCTGGGCCCGCTCTCAGGCGCCCTTTGCCTTTTTTGTTGGCGGCTGGGCGAGCCAGCCGCGGTAAAGAAGGATTGGGAAGAGCAGTGGCGGCACCTGCAGGCGCGCGGATCCGCGGGCGCGCGGCCTCGCGCAACCCGCATGCGGGGACCCCTGCGCGGGAGGGGGGGCGGTGCCAGGCGTGCTTCGGCGAACGCCAGCCCCCGCGCCCGCGAGCGGCTGGTCGCGGCCGCAGCCGGCCCCGTTCGAATTACCGACGCGCGCCCTCGGACGGTGAACTCGCAGCGACGGCCCCCTTCCCATTTGACCCAGGGGCCGCGGGCCAAGCCCAGCTGCGGTGATTGCCCACAGGGCGCAGGCCAGGACCTGCTGGGCGCGCGGGCAGGGGATGCGCGGGGCGTGCGCGCGTGCGCCGCGCACGTTGCCGGGCCCGTTGGGGGCTGGCTGCGCGCGCGGCTCGGGCTGCATTCGCGGCTGCGCTCGCGCGCGGGCTGGGGGCGTCGCGCCAGGTAACGGCGGCCGTGGACGGAGCTCGGGCTGCGCACGGGCCGCTGGGCGCACCCAAGGATGGGGGGCGCCTGCGCGGCGTGCGTGGAGCGCCTCAGCCTTGCAGCGAGACGCGAATCGGGCAAGCAGCGGACGCGCGCCACCATGACGCACGGTTACTTTGACCGCGATGTCCTTGCTCTGCTTGAAGCCGCAGGGGGAATCCGCCTTCGCCGGGGCGTGTCGCCAGGCCCAGGCGCGCGGCGCGCGAGGGGGGTGAGCGGGCTGTTTGCGCCGATCTGCGTCGCAGGTGAAATGGGCCCATTTTGCGCGGGCGGTGGACGCGGAGCCACGCGAAAGGTCCGCGATGCATTACGCGGCGACGTGGCGACTGCGAGAATGATGGCGGAATGCGTCGGATCGGCGCTCGCCGAAGATTTCGCGGACGCCTCTACCAAGAAGGCGTCGGCCGCGGGATTGCCGGCGGCCAACTCGCAGCCGTTCAACGCCGGGGGGGGCAAGGGCTGGGCGGAGTTCAAGGTAACTCCTGCCCACCGTGCCCTGGCCCTCCGCGTTCAGGGCCGCGCACCGGACTCGCGCATGTCTTGCGATCCGCCGCGGGGCCCACGGCTTCGGGGGGGCGTTGCGCAGGGCCTGCCCCGGGCCCCGCGAGCAGCGGCGACCTCGCGAAGGCGACGGGCGCGATGGCAGAATATGCGCAGGCGTCGCGCGAGCAGATGGATTCGGAGAAGAAGACCGATCATTTGCCCTTTACGCTCCAGGTCCTTGGCCCCGCGGCGGCGAGCCAAAGCGGGGGGGGCGCGGCTGCGGCGCGCGCAGGAGCGGATCAGGGAGGTCGGGCTCGACGCCTTTGCAGGCGAGGCCCTCCCGACGGACCTCCCGACGGAGGAGGCCATGCTTCGTTCCGAAAAGCTCGCGAAGGCGCCGCTGGCAGAGCGCGCGCCGGGCGAGCGCGGCGCGGCGCGCGCGGCACAGGCCGCGGCAGCGAAGGGCCGGCGTTATTTGGGGGGCGCCGAGGGTGAAGACTTGCAGTTGCATTTCAAGCCGCCGTGGAGCCGCGTGCCAGATCTGGACACGGCGCTGCGCGACGCCCCGTTTTTCTTGCGCGCGCAGGGAGGGGGCGCGGTCACGCGGCGCTCCGAGGTCTTGCCCGGGGGCTCGGCAGAGAGCCGCGCCAAAGAGGTCGCGGCGGCCAAGCGGGCGGCCATGGCGACGACTGGCGTGGACTTCGCGTCATATGCCGATTTCCAGGACGCGAAGGGACCCGCGCAACCGCGCGGTGCGCGCGGGGGGCAAGTTTCGGCGCAGTACCGTTCGTGGGCAGGCGCACCTGCTTGAATGGGGAATGCGCTGCATCATCACCCAGGTTTTCACGCCGGCGGTGCTGCTGGCCTACCAATGGCAGCTGAGCCGGATTGCGGGGGAGCACGGTGGGACCCGCACCGCGTATTTCTATGATATCGCCATGCGGCAGAAGGCGGGGGCGTTGCGCAGGGGGGGCGCGCGCCGGGCGCGATGCGAACCCCCCCTTTCGCAGGCCGCGCGCGCGCTGGAGCAGGGCGCGGGCGGCGTTGATGCGCTGCTGTGCACCCTGGACTGGGATGTGCTCAAGGCCGCCAAGGCCAAGGCGGAGTCCAGGTCAAAGGGAGTGGCAGCGGCGAAGCCGAGGCGGGGTGCGCCGCCCAGTCCGCCGGAGGCCGCGCGGCGATGCGCCGCGTGCCAGGGCGGGCCAGGGGGCGGAGAGTCGTGCGCCTGACAACAGGAGTGCCCACGGGATGTTTCCGTCTGCGTGGCCGCGATCCACCGTGTGCAGGCCGGTCCAGAGCCCGAAGAGGCCGCCCAAGGCGTGGGGCGCGGCGAGGTCCCGCTCGCCTCGCGGCGGCTGGGGGTCTTCCGCGCCTGCGCGCGGCTCCGGCGCCGGCAAGCAGCCGCCCGCCAAGAGCGGTGAGAGCAAGTGGGCGCCGTGGAGCGAATGGAAGAAGAGCGGCCACAAGAAGTGACGGCGCACCGTCACGCCGATTGCTGTTGCATGGAATAATTTGCCGTGGGAAAGCGAGGCACGACGCGCGCGATTGCCCCGCGCGAACCCGCGAGGGGGTCGATCGCGACCGCCGCCGGGGGGGGGCAGGCAGCGCGGGGAGATAGTGCAGAAATTGACGAGCGCTGGGATAGCGAGGCATCGCTGCACCCGGGCGCGGTCGGGGAAACATGCGTTGACGAGGCCCGCAAGTGCCGCCCATGTAGCGGTCGCGCGCGCGCGTTGCGGCGTTGCAGGGAAATTTGCCGGGGAATAGCGAGGCGCGACGCGCGCGCTGGCCCGCGTGAACCCGCGAGGGGGTCGATCGCGATCACCGCGGGGGGGGGGGGCAGGCAGAGTGGGAAGATAGCGCAGGAATTGACGAGCGCTGGAACGGCGAGGCATCGCTGCCCCCCGGCGCGGTCGAGGGGCCTTTCGTTGACGAGGCTCGCCGTTGTCGCCCATGGCGCGGTCGCGCGCGCGGGCCGCGGTGGCGAGGCTCACGCTTCAGACGCGCTTACCTTGCGGCAAGCGGCGGAAGACTTGCTATCAGACGAGGAAAGAATCAAGCGGATGTCCCCGCTGGATCACTGAGGGTGGGCCCAGCGCCTCCCCGAGTGCGAGGGGCCCAAGCAGCTCCCTGCCGCGTGGGCGGGCGCGGTGGACGCGCGCGCTGCCCTCGAGGGGCGCGACCTGCACCGCCGCCGGGCGGCCGCCTGGCATGACTGGGAGAATCGCACACGGGTGCTGGACCTGGCGCGGCAGGTGGCGGCGCGCCCGCGCGCGCGGCCTCGCCCGTGGGTCAAGCGTCGTTGGAGGCGTATCTTCAGGGGCTTCCGCCTCACGTGCAAGCCGTGCTGGCGCCGAAGAAAAATCTGTGGCTCTTACAGGCATCGGGGCTGGGGCGCGGGCCAGCGCGGGGTGGCCGCCCTCTGCGCGCCCGGCCCCTGCAGGAAATGTTGGCGGCGGCAAGGGCGAGCGATGCGGACCTCGCGCTGCAAGTCGAGAGGGGCTTCCCTCTGGTAGGCGAATTGCCGGTGTTGGGCGGCATGGGGCGGGTGGCGACGAGGGATTCCCGTGGCCCCCCGTCGCTCCACCGCGAAGCGCCGCGCCTGAATGCCGACGCGGTCCCCCGGGTCGCGGGCGATCGCGCCCACGGCGGGGAATTGCGGCGAGAGTTTCTGCGCAAGGAGAGCGAGGGGGCGCGCGGGGAGGGCGCCTTTTCCCGCGGCACCGAGCCCCGCATGCGCGCGCCCGAGCGCGCGCTCAGGTAGAAATCGGCAAAGGCGCCTGGCGCCCGTTGGACCAGGCTTGCCGAGACGCGGTGTTGACTCCCAGATTTCCGGTCGATGAGTGATGGCGCTGGAAACAGGAGGGCGGCTGGAGGCGCAAGGTGCGGCGCGAGCCGCCTTTCGGATCTCTCGCGAGCCGCCTTTTCCGCGGCGCCGAGCCGCGCGGGCCGCTTTTTTCCCGCGGCACCGAGCCGCGCGAAGCGAGAGCGGCTTCTAGCGATCGCAGCAGGTGCGCGTAATTCATGATTTCTCGGCGAGCTTGATTAATGAGTGTACCGCGCCGACGGAGCGCATCCGGATGGAGACTCTCGATGTGCTCGTCAGCTTGGCGCGGGCTCTGCGGGGCCGGGGGCCCGTGAGGCTCCGCAAAGCGGATTTCGCGCGGGCATTCAAGACCCTGCCGCTGGCACCGTCTGCCCTGCGCATGGCGGCGGCCGCCTGGGGGGGTCGGCAGAGGAGGGCCGGGCAATGCAGCTGTGGCGCTGCCCGTTCGGTGCGGTGGCGAGCGCGCATGCCTGGGAGCGGTTTGGAGGCGCTGTACAGGTGCGAGTGCCTTCTTCCTCCCCAGAAGCGGCGGGGCGCGCCGCGCGCGCTGCAGGCGATCCTGCGCCGGCTTTTCTTCACCCCAACCGGGAGATTCGTGGACGACTTGTTCGGAATCGACCCGGAGGGAGGCTGGGCGGAGGGGCCCTTAGCGGGGGCCGCTGGAGCATCTCGGGCGACGCGCTTCGTAATCGAGACTTTGTTGGGCTGGGAATTGGACGAGGAGAAGCGCGCGTCGTCGGCCGAGTCGGCCGAGGTCCTGGGCGTAACGGTTACGGTAATCAGTAAGCCGGTGCGCCACTGTCGCGCCCCGCCGGTCGACTGGGGGGGGCGCGCGGTCGGCCGGCTCGCGAGTTCTGTTGCGCAGGAACAGGCGTTGGTTTTCAGCATCCGGCCTGAGAAAGTGGCCAAGTGGAGGGGCTCCATTGAGCAGGTCCTCCAGTCTGGCCAGCTGTCGCCCGCGGGCGCGGCCAAGCTGGCGGGAAAGCTTGGGCGGGGCGCTTCCGCCGTCTTCAGCAGGGGCGCCCGCGTTTACTTGGCTCCGCTTTTCCATTGGTCCTCCGGGAGGCGAGCGGTGTTGACCACGCGCTTGAGGCGTACGCTCGAATGGTGGCTGCGATTCTTGGCCGCCGCGCCCCAGCGGCATGTCCCGCTGCGGTGGCGGGCAAAGCAGCGCGTGCTTGTTTACTCGGATGCAACGGGCAGCGGCAGGTCGCGTGCGCTGCGTGCCGTCCCGCCCCCGCTGCCGGGCGTGGAATGGCGCGAGGTTGGCGTGGGTGGTCGATGACGGCCCCCGGAGAAGGTATGCCGCGGCGGACGTGCCTGCGGCCCTACGGGGCTGGGTGGCGCGCCGGAAAGTGCAGGCCCGCGCGCGCGCGGCCGCGAGGGCCGAAGGTGGGTGTTGCGGGGCGCGCGCGGTGCGCAGGTGGCCACTTGGGAACTCGTGGCGGCACTCTGCGCTCTGGGGGCGATGCTTGCGGAGTATGGCGACATCGAAATTGTTTGCTTCATTGACTCCGCTGTCGCCCTGGGCGCGATCGTGCGGGGAGCCTCGCGCCAACCCGACTGGAATGCCTCGGTCGGGAACCTGTTGCACGGGGCGGCGACCAAAGGGTGCGCCACGTGGGCCTTTCGCGTGCCCTCCGCACAGAATCCAGCGGACGCGCCTACCCGCCCGGAGTCCAAGTAGCGCGCGTTGGAAGCCATGCCTCGCGCGGGCTTCTCAGAAGAAGCGTGGCAGTGGCCCGCGCAACCGCCCTGGCAGCGATGCCATCCGCGGGGGACCGCGCCCCGCGCGGGGCGCTGTGGGCTCGCCCTTCCCCCCCCCCTCCTTTTGCAGGGGAAGGGCGCGGAGCCGGAGCGTTTTGGGCGTGCGTGGAGTCCGCGGGCCACCGCGAGCGTTTGTGCATGGAGGCACGCAGCGCGATCCGCCTCCGAAGGGCGCGGGAGGGATGCTCGCATCGTTTGGGGCGTGCGCGGAGTCCGCGGGCCACCGCGAGTGTTTTGTGCATGAAGGCATGCAGCGCGATCCGCCTCCGAATGGCGACTTGCTTGCTCTTGCGCGCATGGCCGTGAATGCAGCGCCGGCCGGGCGGGCGCTGAATCCAGAGTCGGTGGCGTTGGTTATGTTGCAGGGGGGAATCAAAGGCGTCGAGGTCGCGGGCGCGCGCGCGTTCGCGCGGAGCTGCAGGGTGCCGCGCCGGGCCGCGAGGATCTCGAGGGCCTGGCAGGCTGCGAGTTGGAATTGGTCTGGCCCGCCTTGAAGCGGACGCCCGGCCTGGCGGGCCAACTCGCGGCGTGCGTGAAGACCCGCAAGCGACGGCGTGCGACGGCGGGGCCGGCGTGCGCGCCCCGGCTGGAGGCGCCCGTGTCACGGCCCGTGCACGTGCGCGGGTGCGTGCGTCTTTCGTTCGCAGGCCAATCCCGGCGGGGCGGCGAGAGCTCTGGAAGCGCAGCCCTGGCGGGCGCCCGCCGCGGTGCATCCGCGCCTGGAGGAGGTGCGGGCCGCGCTGCGAGGGCTGGTCCAGGCCAGGGAGAGGGGGTGTCCACCGTGCCCGTTGCGGCTGGCCTGCCTCCTCAGGCTGCTAGGAAGGGCCACCGGACCCCCGGCGGCGCTCGGTTTACCAGCGCGGCCTTCCGAGGGAGGCGAGGCGCTGATCGCCGCAGGAATTAATAGCTATCGGCGCGAGAAGATCAGTCTTACCGCCGCGTGGGTAGAGATGGGCCAGTGGCGCGAGACTGCGGCCCAGTACGCCTCATCAGTGGCGTGCTGGGAATTGCGCTGCAGGTCCTGTAATAAAGGGGGGGCGCAGTCGCGCCGCCCGCAACGCGCGCGAGCGCGCAGGGCGGCGGGGGTCGAGCCTTGGCCGCCGAGCGGGCCTGCGCTCCAGGTTTTGATC